TAGTACTTCTCATTGAACCACTGTCAGCCACCCTACATATATTGTCGGTAAAGGAATAAATGCTGCTAAATAATAGACTCCCATAAACACCCGCCTATGGAGGATGTCTTATATTAAATGGTAGTTTTTTACCGAAAATCACCAAGTCATTTTTTTGCCCAGATTATGGCGAGAGGGTGTGTCAGACTCTTGCTGACTAAAAACTACTGCGTTCTTTCCCCTGCTCTAGGCCGAGGCCGTGGTGCATTAATACGCTATTTATGTACCAGGTATAGGAGTAAAACTGGCCTTTAACATGAGATTCACACTAGGGTTTTCTCCTGTGTCGTGGATACTTTTCATCATTCACACCACACCCAGACCCCAGAACAACAATCTGTTCTTAATCTCTTTCAAACAGAAGAGTTTTTCTGTGCTGGAATCGAACCCGTGACACGTTGCGCGGCTGCCAGTTGCCCAGCTACCGGGCCAATCGTGCAGTCAGCACCAATTCTGACAACTAGCTGTGGTTATGAAGACGTTTGAGTATACAAATGTTATAGAGAAATAGTTAGAATTAGTTAAATACAATAGTTCTATTCAATAGGCAAATTATGACTCTACCTCATACATATTATCTTCACCTAAATTAAACATCGATAATGTTATTATCGATAAAAATAGTACTTTATACTTTATCATATTCAGATTAATGTAACATTCAAAACGTTCCCTAATCACTAAGTACTTTGATAATTTACCCAAGTCAATACATATGTTTATTCGAAATTTTATATTTTGAACCTTAATTTTAATAGTTTTAAAGTACATTTTTGATTACACTGAGGATATTTGGAAACCAGTGACGGTAGTTAGCTAAGGAATTGTCCTGAATCCAAGTAGGATTTCTGCTAACTAGTAGTGCGTCACTAATCATTCCATTTCTTTATATGTTATAGTTTGTTTGTATAAACATTTCGTTTCTCCTAAACTGCTGGAGTGAGTTCAATGAATTTGTGATTATATTTCTTTAATATTGAGATAGATCTCGTTACGGATATGTCATGGAAATATCTAGATGGCACTTTTCCTAATTCATTTTTATGCTTGTGCTTGATTAATATCATTATAAATTATATATTACATCAAACATTGGTTATAAATATGTTTTTCTAAAACAAAAGAAACTATCAGGCTTATAAAATCTATATTGATTAATATTTCAAACGGCTCTTTGAACTAGATTTCATAGAATAGAATGACTCATATGAATTTAAAAGTTTATGCGATAGGAAAATTTGCGTGTTTTTACCTACACCGTATCTATTAAGTAAATAAAAAAATTATTATTAAAAAAACAAAATACCCGACTGCACACTAAAAAAAGAGTAAAACAAGCCCCACAATACAAATTTACTGAATATAATTTATAAATGTTGATGGAAAGCATCGCAGGCGGGGACCAACAGAGGCTTATTTATAGTCATTTCTGTTGTGCACCACTTAGCAGAATTTTCGTTTGTGGCGGTCAAGGTGGTCCCCGCCTGCGATGCTTTCCATCAACATTTATAAATTATATTCAGTAAATTTGTATTGTGGGGCTTGTTTTACTCTTTTTTTAGTGTGCAGTCGGGTATTTTGTTTTTTTAATAATATTTTTTTTATTTATAACTTTTTAGCTGTTTTTATTTAACGAAAATGTTGTAGATGTAGAAGACTATGTATATGTAAGTACCATTACGACCGTCAACGACGTGTGCCCTTATGCGTGTGCCCGCATTCGGGCTGTATACTCGAGCATATCCCCCTCCGCACCGCGCCGCGCGCCGCATGCCAGGCCACGCCCTATCTTTTTGCTTGCTAACGCATGAGTTGCTTTGCGTTGACGCAGAATTAACATGTTCCCGTGGGAATTTTGAGAAAAAACGTATCCTATATTAATTACTCCCGTGATTGAAATGAATCTAATGATACCGCATACATACTTTTTTAAAGGGAAGTTTAGAAAAAATATTATTATGTCTTTATCCCGTGGGACTTTTAGGATAAAATGTATCCTATGACACTCCCGTAATCAAGACAAATCTAACGATACCTCATACATCAAAATCCATCAAGCCGTTTAGGCTACAGGAGGTCACAAAGGAAAAGACATACATACATACTTACATACACTCGAAAAACATTACCCTCCTTCTTTGGCAGTCGGGTAAAAAAATATAGTTCGAATCTTTCGTTATATAACGTTGTATGTATGGAACGTCACGTATAAAAATTCAAAGTTCAAACGCCCCGATTTTTCTTTTTGTTTTAATCGAATTATTAAAATAAAAAAAAAATGTTTTATCATTTATTTTTTTATTTTATTTTTTGTTTGCTTTTTAAATATGGTAATAAGATGAATTAAAGCCACGGGTGGTTAGGGCTCCAGAGAAAGAAAGTTCCAGATAATCCAGAAGTGCCCACAGCTTAGGTACTCCATAAGACCTACCGTTACCCAGGTCTTGGCCGAGGCTTTTAGCGTAGGTAGTGTGATCCATTTGCAGATAGGAATATTTATATTATTGTGTCTAGACAAACGAGAGATCTCAAAGATTGCTCAAGGATCTCAAGATTGCCCACAATCGGTGGACGTAAACATTGCAAGATCTGAATCAATGTCAACATAATTACTTGTTTAATTATACCACTTATTTATTATTAGCTACATATCTGTAAGAGAGTAAATATTGTAATTTTTCTATTGATGTTTATTTGTTTTTTTTATTGTTGGTAAAGTACTACAGACGAGTATGAGATCTTCGCGAATTAAATAATGTTTTGTTTTTAAACATCATTCATTTTATTTTAGAACTATTTTCCGCCTGCGTGGTATTTTGACCAAAAGCCTATGTTTAGTCCAATCTAGGTCCAGCCGTTTTTGCGTAAAAGAATAACAAACATACGCCCATACAATCTCACAAATTTTCACATTTATAATATCAGTAGGTTGTAAGTTATAAAGAAATCAAGTAAGTATAAGTGTGGGAGAGCTATGCTTCGGCACGAATGAGTCGGCTCGACCGGAGCGATACCACGGCCTCACAGAAAACCGGCGTGAAACAACCACAGCGTTGTATTTCGCCGTGTGAGTGAGGTTACCGGAGGCCCGATCCTTCCCCTTCCCGGACCCTTCCCCAATCCCTAAATCTCCAAATCCCTAATCCCTGAAAGGTCGGCAACGCACTCGTAACTCCTACGTTGCGGGTGTCCATGGGCGGCGCTGATTGCTTACCATCAGGTAATAATAAACGGGTAAAACTACCCGTTCTTTCCAACGATATATACGATAATACGCGTGTACTCAGAAATGTAAATACTAAAAATGTTTTTTTAGGTACTGGAGATACCATATTATAGGTAAACTCTTTATTAGGTCACACATAACAATTTATAGGTACCTATTCTAGTAAATTTATAATCTTACTACTTGTTAAGATACGAAACATAATCTAATAAAATAAAGATACTATTATCAAAATATAAATTAACATATTAAAAAAATGAGAAGTTTCTACAAGCTATTTACACCGTAGGAGTAGGGCATCTACATTTGTACTTAATTCCATTTGGATCCGTTCAGCAGTTATGTTAAAAGTAACAATCACGCTTAAAATCTTTTCACGCTTATAATATGTTAGCGGCCCACCCCGGCTTCGACGAGTAAAATGCTGATGAAAACTTTAGTGTTAGAAGTGAAGTATAGGTTTGTTTCCTTCCGTGTAAATAGGTAAATACATAATACAGAAGGCGACACGTGCATAGGTAGCTAATGATTGATTAAAAAAATAAAGATTACATTTGATATTTTGAATGTGAACTTTAAGGTTGAAGGAATAAATATAAAATTGCATCATACTGTTAATTAACCATGTCCTTTCAAATGTTCAATCGGTTTTTATCAACGTCAAAGTCGATATAATCGTGGCCATTAGCTTTCGGCGTGTTATTACTAAAACAGGGATAAACAGAGGCTTCTTTACAATGGAAATACTATAATACATAAAAAATAAAAATTGACAAACAAACATTAGGATTATCTCTTACATTCTGTCAGCGGCTACTCTTGTAGTAGCAAGGTCAGAAGCCGCTTTGTTATTCCTGACCATAACCTATCTCTGTGCAAAATTTTAGTCAGATCCATTCAGTAGTTTTTACGTGAGAGTAACAAACACCCATCGATTCTTATTTTTTTTTTTTGTGTTTATATCTTAATATGATAATGTGAGATATTTTTTGTGTTCCTTTCCACCCACCACAGGGACAGGGTTCGACAACTATAGAAATAGTATTGTCTCTAACCCTGACCATATTGATACACACGGATAACAAGACTTGAAAAGAGACTGACCTCTGAGTTTGTTTCGGCATTTCTTCTCAGAGTAGTCAGATAGGAAATGCCGGTTTCATCTAGTTTTTCACATGTAAATTAACGTGTAAAAGTGCCGTTATATAGCCTATTTGCAAAAATAAATTCATTGTTTCATTGTTTCATAAACAGGCAGGACGTGACTGGCAAACTCAATTAATGGGCGTAAACGGCCGCGACATGGGCAGAACATACGTTATATCTCATTATTATTAGGATTTGTAACTAAAACCTGTTTGTCATTTGCTTACACGAGCAAGTACATTCTCGGTCATTTACAATCTTAATCCAGCAACGCAATCTATGATTAACATACTGCTACGTTTCGTATTATCTTGCGATATATTTTTGTATGTAAAACCCAAAATACACACGAAATACAAACGCAATTGTAATGGCCGAACTTTGTGTATTTAAGCAGTTTTAAATATTGAACAAATGGAAGATAGACCTTTATGACGCCGAGTCGTTTAAACTGTAATCGATACACTGTTACATTGGTTAAGGGATCGTATGACTGATTGAGGTATTCTTAACGTTTAAAGGCCTAAGGTATTTTTAGAATTCGCGATTTTATCCAGACCTAAAGAAATATAAATATAATCCAACTCACCGGAGGCAATCCTTTATCCCGCAGCCATTGATCAGGCTCCTTCAAGCAGAACGCGCCGTACAGAAGCACGAGCGAGAACAATCCGCTTGTCAACGAGAATAGTCCATAGTATCCCATCTTCTGCAGCAAAAACCCACTGATACCTATACCAATAGGCAGACCAGCGGTCATGCAGAAGTTCACAAGACCCACTCTGAATGTTCGCGACTCTTCCGAAGTAATATCACTGATATAACTGAATACACCCAAAAACATAGTCACCCAACCCCCAGTAATAGCTGGGAATAGCGTCTCTAATAACACCGTTACTTGCACAGGAATCTCGTAAAAGAAATAAACGTTCACTAAATTATTTAAGGACGTTAACAGTTCTCCGTAAATCGGTAGCAGTATGATTAGTTTTCTCTTCCCCGTTCTGTCACTCCACGCTCCCAGGAACATTATTATCATACATGGTAGTGCCGTTGAGATCACGCTCTTCCAAATGTCTATCGAGGAGATCAGCTGCTGTACCGCCTGCTCGTACTCCGTAAAGTTCTTGCTCGCCTTACTTATTAACGCATTGCAAATTTCATCCCCAAACCCAAAATTAACACGACACGCTTTGTCCAAATTAAGATTTCCCATAGCGAACCTTGAGATAATACTGGGTATGATCAGACCAGCTAACAGTGGTTCCACAGTGATGTTTTCCTTAATATATCTCAACTTCTCTCTAAAAGTTTTGTCCTTATAAAGGCTAGGGATGGCATCTTTGTTCAATGGCTTTTCTTCCACGTCGACCGGCTTTGTTTTTTCTTCCGCCATTTTTGTTATTTTTTCTGTTGACGGATTAATTCAAAATATAACTATAATATCAGTATCATTGTTTATAAACAGCACTCGAGCACGACCGGCCGTCACTGTTGCGATGTTTGATACCACATTATGTCTGAAACATTGATAGACTGAATGCTTGCCTTATTTGCTTCGCCGACATATCTGTTTGGTATCAATTACTCGTTTATAATGATAATGTAGAATTCCAATTAGATAAAGTCCTTTGTTTTAGGTGATTAAAGTTGCCACTAAATGTATGTTCGTTCTTAATTTTTCCGTTTTAATTATGTGGTCTTGTCTCCAGCCATTGTTCTGTGTGGCCGTTCTGGTCAGCGTTTGTCCAGCGACTGCCACCTGTATGAGAAATCAGTGTTAATATAATGGAGGATGTTTTGAAACTACATTCAGTTGTATTATGTACATAGATGGCTTTTTTTAACCGCGCTATAGTTAGGAGTAGGTTTTATTGTACTTTGTACTTTAATAACATGGGCAAAGGTCTCAATGTGCTCTGGCGTATAATTTCGTGATGTTTCGCTTGATAATCAGCATGTTTTGCTAAAAGATAATCTGGGTAAATTTTATATCTATCGGATTCTGTGAATACAAAACCAAATATAACGCAAAAAGTTTCGGTACTTTATTTTATGCTCAGTATTATTTATCTCGTATGATTTTCCTTTAAGAGGTAATCACTGTTGCTACGGTAACTTCTTAAACCTCATCTCAACAGTGCATCGAACCCAGCAATACATTTCACCCTAAAAAAAATCGACATCCCAATTACAAACCCTTAGAAATTTTATATTTGGAAAGAACAACACGCCACGATATCATAATTTTATTTAGACAAATATCTTAATTAAATAATCCAATTAATTATTTACTTTACTATCTAAACAATTCAGTATATAATAGATTGTCTACAAACATGGCCTGGTTAATATGTCTATTATGGTGAAATTCACTGAAACCTACAAACATAATGGTATGCTAAGAGGAATTAGTACTGGCAGAGATTATAACTATTCTATAGATAATACGGATTTGTGTACAAGTATTGAAAGCAGTGTTAATAGAAATTAGTGTAATTAATTGAACTAAGAACTGAGTTATCGAGTCGGCTTTGATTCCTGCTCCAAACATTTCAAGTGATTTGAAAGAAAAACAGTTTGTTTGTGACATGGGTCTATGGGTCAAGTCTATGACATATATGAATAAACACCAAGCACCCATAAGGTTCTGCTGCGCCAAATTAGTACCTACGAGACGGAATAAGCTCCGACGAGATCTAAAGGCAGAGCGGAAGCAACGTCTGTCGAGGGCCGGGCACGCAGCAGTAAGAACCCTCTTTGTGGAGTGGCTTAAGAGACGTCATGGCGTCCTCGCCTTCCGCCTGACGCCGGTGCTTTTCGGGCACGGCAGCTTCGGTAGGTTCCTTTTTCGGATCCTAAGAGGATACGCCCGAGTATCGTCATTGTGAGGACCACCCAGAGGACAAGGTGGAGCATACGGAGGCGGTGTGCGCAGCTTGAGCTGGCGACCGCCGTTTCTTCGAGGAAGTGATCAGAGGCAGCGACCTCTCGCGTCCACCTTTCTGGAGCGAGAGACACTGAGAAGCCATCTCCTCTTTCTACAAAACAATGATGCTCGCAAAGGGGGAGGCGGAGCGTGTCAGGGAACTATCCTCCTCGGCCTCATTAGCCGCAGCAGGTGGCGCTCCAAGCGTCGGGGATCGAGTGACCTTCTCCGGCTACCATAAGCGCGGGTTTGAGGCCGGCGAGAAAGGGTCTCGCCACCCGACCAAAACCAAACGCGAGCGTACGGCGCGTAGCGTTCCGCGTACGCCTTAAACAGCCAATAGACTAGGATAGGGTCCTATAAAGCTAATGTTCAGCCGTGGTTGCGGGTCAAATTCAATAAGGTATCGCGGCGAACGGGGGCGTTTTTGGTCAGTAAGTCTGACAGTCTCGTCAAACCCTGGGCGGGAGAAGTTAGTTGACGATGACATTCCCTTCACCAAAAAAAAAGATCCCATAACCTCGCCGTAGACGAGCCAAAAAGTAGCTGAAGCTCACAATAGTTGTATTCTTGAAGGAAATAACTGCATTCAGTAACAAAGCATTGGTTATAAGGTCGGCGACGCATTTTGGTAACTATGGCCGGTGGCAAGTCTGCAAAGAGTCTAACACTTGAATTATCGGCCACGTATCTACCTGACATCTAAATTTCACGGTGACAATTGAATCTCCATGAGTGATGGCGGCTAAACTATGATTATCCGACATTTTGCCATCACGCAAACGGTCACGGAGTTATGGACCGGAAAACTATAGGAATACTTGTTTAATGATGTGACTATTTGGTATTTTTCTTTGAATACTAAATTACAAGTTTTTTTACTATATTTAGGTGTTATTCTGGCGAATTAGTTGTGTTTATAGATTGAGTTTACAGATTAAATTGATTGTACGTTTTAAGTTTAGAAATTGACATAATTATTTAAATTATTTTTATGTATATTTTTGACAAAGGATTTAGAGGAATCGAAACATAAATATTAAATGGTATTCATAATAGTTTTGGTTAATGTAAAAATCATTTTTTGCAAGAATACAGAAATCAGAAGCGATTATTCATAGAAAATCATTATATTTGGCACGTGCCATGCGTAAACTAATGGCACCTTTATTGATAATGTCATAAATTTTTCCCTAAGTTATTGAAGTATATATTTTTCTAAGTCTATGCACATCATCATCATATGTGCCCACTGCTAAGTGGAAAAGGTTTGAGCATGTGAATCATCACCACGCTTGCTCAATGTGGTTTGGCCATTTCGAGCTAATTACAAGAAATTAGAAGTCCAACTTCCTACGATGTTTTCCATCACCTAAGGAGAAGGAAGAAGGAATGTAAGAAGAGGCCTTGGTTCAGATGTGGGGACTGTTTCAGCTGATTTTAATAATCATAAAGTTTTTAATTGTTTTCGTTAAAAGTAGTTCGTATTTCTTACCTATATTTAAATTCTACGAATCAAGCAAAAAAAAACTGTTAAAATAACCATATGTTTTCACCTCTATCTTATCACAAGCTTTTTCACATGTTGTAAAATGGGAAAAACATAATTAACCTTTTTTTACACTTAACATTTTGCACTTATGAAATAGACACAAGTAACGAAATAAACCTTATTGTCATTAAAATAAAGACTAATCAAAACATTTCTGTGGAAAATTAGATCTTTTTAACTATGTTTATAACTAACATAACAAAACTTAAACAAAATCTAAGAAAAAATGTATAAAGATGAGGTTTTTTTTTTACTTTATGTTTGATTTGGATACCTATAACACCAGGGAAGTGACGAGTGCCCTGCCGGCCTTATGAGAATAAGGGTTTCAGAGATTTAGGGATTGGTGGAGGGGAACGATTGTGCCTCCAGCACGTCGATTCTATAAAATTTGTTTGATTTTGAATCGTATTCGAGTGCGAAGTGAGCGTCGAAATGACGGGGAAATTAAATTTTAGAATGCCACTTTTAACGTCATCTCATACTTTATCTATCAAAATGTTGCTGTCAATTTAGTTCAACTCGCAAGTGTAGCGCTAGTGTACTACTACTCACAGCGGATTCAGATTCGAAATTTAGAATGAAGTCTTACAGAATCACACCCCAGTAACCCCACTCAGAAGGTGAAAGACAACGCTGTTTTTGTTTCACGCTGGTTTTCTACTCCAGCTCTCTTTTATTCTTACCAAAGCTTAGCTGTTCCACACTCATATTCAGCAGTGGACGTTTTGTGGATGGTATGATAATGATGATAATGATGATTTGAAATAGAATAAAGTCCAGAAAAAGCACTTTAACTCTTTTTTACTTTAGTGACGCGAGCCAAACCGCACAAACAACACACGAATTGGTTCCTATACTAGTATCATTAGCAATTCTTAAAGTTGGCATTTTCATAAGATTTTGGCTCAACCTAGTTGTGATGTTGCAAAGATTCTATTAAGGTTCATGGCATAGCTATGAGTATTATAGAATTAAATGTTATAATGTCGCTATTTGTATTTAGGGTACGATGGGACTGACATACGCATTGCGATTATGAAGTCCCTAAACAAATAAAGAATAAAAAAAAATCATTAGCAATTGCAAAATATATGACGTGGAAACAGACATTTTACATAATAATGCAATAATTTCTATAGAACAAGACGACCATTATTGTTATGTTTATATTCTATTAAAACGTTCTCATCATTCCATCTGAATTCTTATAGCATAACTTACTATCTTATTTTTTATTCTTAGAAGGATTCACTCAACTATCATTATTATGAGGGAAAACTCAATTATACTTTGCCCGACTAAGGGGCCACTCCAGGTCGCCATCTTCGTGTGAGATCACGGAGAAGATTTGCAGTTGATCTTGGCGGATTGGCGATGACATACTTCCAAGTCCAGGTTTCCTCAAGATCATTCCCGTCATCGTATGTAAGTGATATCAAACTTTTTGAAAGAATCTTTTGAATCTTAGAAAGTATCTAGATAGAAAGTAGGACACTTTTGCAACTATTTTAAACAATAAATTATATCGAATTATAAATTATATTTTATTTATTTTATGAATTAAAATCGAGAAATCGAGACGATTAGATTAAAAATTAACAAATAAATAAAGATAATTGCGATAGAAATTAACCCATTCAGGTGTTAAAGTATTATCAGTTTTTTTAAGGTCACTTTCAGTTTTCATCTGAAAAACAGCGTCTTGCGTCTTTGTCTAATGGGGTATTATAGCGTTTTGTGATTTGTTTGATACGGTCCTTAAATCATTAGCTTCCATCACATTCATAACGCCATGCCTCGCCCGATTTCAGATCGACATTAGCTGGTCAAGGTGTTCGAATTTTGAAAACTTGGTGGTGCCTTTAATACTAGCTTCTATCTCTGTGCTATAGTTTTTACATGTAAAAGTAACCAATCTCTCTCCATATTATTATAAACTTGCACGTTTATATTATTATTATAAGAAGTGCCCTCCATATACATTTTTTCGTTTGGTCAGTAAAACGCGTAACGCTTGCATTTTTACTCATGTCACTAATCACTGTAGCATGACTGACT